AAAACCTGAATAGGATAAATAGAAAGATATATCCACCTAGGCACATCATAATCAAATTACTGAAATTGAAAGAGAAAGAGAAAATTATGAAAACAGCAATTGAATGAGTGAAAATCAAAACAAAACAAAAATAAAAACAACTCACACATGCAGAGCATCAATAATATAATTAATGGATTACTTCTAATCAGAAATAATGGAGATCAGAAGACATATTCAAAATACTAAAAGAAAAGAAAAAGAAAAAGAAGAAAGAAACAGGCCACCAAGAATTTTACACCCAGTGAAATTATCCTTTAAAAATAAAAAGGAAAAAACCTGAGAGAATTCTTTGTAAGCAGATTTTTTCCTATGTAAAATATAAAACTGAGTCCTTTAGGCTGAAAGGAAATGAAATCAAATAATAACTCAAATTCATGGGATTAAATGAAGAGTATAGGAAATGATAAATATGTAGGTAAATATTATAAATAAAATACTATACATATATATATTTATCTTTTGTTTTCTCTTAATTTCTTTAAGGAACATGAGATTCTTTGAACAATTAGTTGTTTAACATATTCTTTTGAAAGTATTGAACAAAATCAACTATGTGGAAAGAAAATTAGATTGTTATTAGCTTTCTCATGGCAAATCTATACCAGAAAATAACGGAATAACATATTTAATATACTCAAGGAAAGAAAATGTAAGCCAAGGATTTTATATTCAGCAAAATTAACCTTTTCATATAAAAACTACAGGAAAATGTTAATGTCATGCAAGAACTCAGAAAATATTGCTTTCACAAGCACTTCTTGAGGATTCTCCAATAGAATACACTTCAGACTGGAGATTATATTTACATAAAGACTGGTGTTAAATATTGATTATGTATTTACCTTTAGCACTAACAATACATGATTGCTATAAGGAAAGGAATAGTAATAAATGTGTTTTAAAATAAAGATAAAATGTAAGTATCAAAACCCGGGGGGTAGAATTGAGGGGCTTCTGCTTATGGGAGCATGTAGAGGTCAGTGAAAAAAGACAAGTATAAAACTGGGCAAAAGTGTTAAAAACAACAATTTCAGTACCCTGGAAATCAACTAAAGGTAAACATCAAATTGAGAACCATTTGTTCTTGAAAAAACACTAGAGCTTCAGTTAAAACAGCAGAAGTCTTCAGCCTTTTTGCCTATGGCTCCATCCATTCAATTCACTACGTTGGTCATTGAGAAATGTAGTTTTGGCAGAATGGAGCTGGCTACAAAACCAGCAGGTTTCCTCCCACCCCCCACAAGGGGCAGGCTTAAATTAAGTCTAGGGGTGAAAACTCTTCACTTTTTCACCCAACAAGGACAAACTTGGTAGGAAACAAATAGAAAAAAACTGAAACTTGGTTTGTTTGAGTTTGTTTTTCCCTTTGGGATGAGTGGCTGCCATGGTTTGAATGTTTGTCCCCTCCAAAATGCATGTTGAAATTTGGTTGTTATTGTGGCAGTATTAGATTAGAAGGTGGGACCTTTGGGAGGTGAGAAAGACATGAGGGCATTGCTTTCATGGGTAGGATTAATGGGCAAGTTTGTTTCCCTTTTGCCTCTTTGCCCTTCTGCCTTCTGCCATATGAGTACATGGTGTTCCTCTTTTCCAGAGGGTGCAGCAAGAAGGCCCTCACCAGATGTCAGTGCTTTGATCTCGGACTTCCCAACATCCAGAACTGTGAGAAAATAAATTTCTGTTCTTTATAAATTGTTCAGTCTATGATGTTCTGTTATAGCAGCACAAAATAAACTAAGACAGTGGCAGACCAGATAGACGTTTAACCTGGAGATCCCGGAAATCAGAGAGTCAAAGAATGAATGAGATAAGTTCTTCACTCACTGTGGCCTGACTGAGATTGCGGGAAGTTGGAAGTACAAGTGACAATACTTTTCAAATATCCCTGAAAACTATTAAAACAGACAGAATAACTAGGGCAGAATAACTAAAAACACATAGATAATATCTGTAAGAATACTAAATAATAATACATCCCCATTAATATGTGAGACAAACCACTAGACCACTGTGTTATCAGCAACTGTGCAGAAAGAAGCAGAAAGATCAACTGGCACTTAGAACTGGAGAACCCTGCCCCCAACAATAGGTAATCACTGAAAAGACAGCAGACTAATCTAATCTGAGCATAGCAGCTGAAATGGAGAAAAGAGTTTGCAGGCATCAAACCATCAGTGTCTTCAAGGGAAATAAGAAAAGGGTTGTCAGCACTGGAGCAGGCTTCTGAGGACATATACCACACCGAGAAGAAGCACCCAGAAGAAGAATCCGAATTAAACAAGACAGGCCTGAGAGGAGAAATCAAAGAGGCAATTTAGGTAAAAGTAAGGGATAGAAGCAAAGGAAATACAGAAAGTACAATGGCAAATTATTTATCTTGAAAATAAGAGAAGAGGGGGCTCTGGAGACAATGAACACTCTAGAGAAGCTAGCCTGGCCCAACGTTCCATGATAAGAATAAAAATGCATTTAACTTAAACATGAGCAATAGAAAAGGAATGAAGTAGAACAACCTATAAAGATGCTATAAGCAAAAAAGGAATGGAGAAGAAAATAACATTCCTACAACAATGACAGCCTGGTAACAAG